TATGTGCCTCTTGTATCAAGAGAGGTCGTTTGCTTCTGTAAAACTTTAATAAGAAACATTGATTCTATGGGCCGGAAATTTCGCGCATGCGCACAGTGCCGGAGGGCAAAAAGATCATCTTTTTACACTCTATCCGTAGCAATTCAGTTAACTAAATAAAACCTGAAGATGTTGGTATTATTAATTAAATGCAGTACACCACAGCAAAGGTAAAAAATAAAATTAAAAAATAGCGCAAAAAACGACTCAGAATCACATTTTTCTCCTTGCTTTCTGTGTCGGTTTCGTTATGCGCAGACTCATTGCCATAGCAACTGACGACAACGGCGCTTTAAGTTTCTAGATTCAACACTAAAAACACACTGAAACATTCAGTCCGTTACAGTTTCAGGTTTTTAGGCTTGATGTATATTTTGCTCTACTATCTGTCAGATAGTAAAGGTGTTTATGTCGCCTCTTTTTATTTTTTTGACTGAACAGAAACACACCAAATTCCACATCACATCCATACAGGAGACGATCACATCTACACATTACGGTCGTCAAGTCAAGCGCAGTAGCGTGTTTATTAAAGTGACAAACACTTTGCTTTCAAATTTTCCATGTTAAATTATAAATATCATAATCCCATACAGATGTAATTTTTTTATATGAGGGGTATATTTTATTAAACGTTTAAAATAACACTTTCTTTTGTCTACCTTGCTTTTGAAAGTGAAATATAAATTGACGATCTTCTCATTTAATGTTTTTTTATGTTAAATATTTTCTCAGTGCATGAGTGTAAAGGCAATAATCAATAACAAATGATAATGCTGTGCTCTTTAGTGAATGAATAAACTGGGTGTACTCAAACACACCTACATGAAAAACAATGACTAAACATATTCTTGATTCTTCTCAAACTCCCATGCAGAAGATGAATAAAAATGTATCTATTAGTAACAAGATTCTCATATTACTCATGTTAAATTAAAAAAAAAGAATTGAAGGGAAAATTATTTACACACTTATACCATTAAATCTGAATTATTCAAACTGTTTTGGGAGCATGTTGGTGAAATTTTTCTCAATGAAACACTGTCTGCATGAATGTTAAACTGGTCCAGCAGCAGATTGACTCACTGTTATTAGAAAAACGGACAAAGCTGTAAATGTTTTACGCCTCAAAGAGCAAAAAGAGAAGGTGAGAATTTACAGAAAGTAGATATAGCAAATCTATCTAGTCCTTGCCTTTTTTAAATAGTTGTCTCCCATAAAGACATGATTTGTTGTCCTATTTACTCTGCTGATCTATCCCACAAAAACACAGAAGTTTTGAGCTATAACATGACAAAATCTAAAAGGGTTTAACAGCTACTTATGGAGCTAAATCGGGACCATAAAGTTTGTTCAAAAAAAATAAAATAAAATTAAGCTAAATTAAAAAAAAAAATAAACTGAAAAAAGTTTTGAAATTCAAAGTATGAAAAAAAAAATTTAACTGAAAAAATGTAAAGCTACTTTACAGAGTGAGAACGTTTTTATCAGTTTCAGATTTTTTTTATTTGAACAAACTTTATGGCCCCAATTTAGCTCCATACTATCCCATCAGTTGGAAATGCATTTCAGTGTCTTGTTAAAATGTCCTATTCTAATTATTTTATACCATTATTTGAAATTAAAACTTAATCCATAATTAATTTCATATAATAGCTGTCCATAAAATATCTCTTGGTGTAAATTTGCTAAAGCTGTGGACCCAGCTCTGTGTTGTGTGTTTTTACTACATGGTGCAGGAAGCTCAGTGCAAACAGGGTGAACAAAACCCTGAGGCCAAATACCAGCTGCTGCTAACGAGCGTCAGATGCTCATTGCAATGTAAATTAGTTTTAATTGGAGTTTCTGCCTGCGTCATTTATCTCCTAACCTGGCCTTTATTAAAATCTTCGAAGTCACTTTTTGTTTCTGCTCAACATTTCCAAGCTTTTCTTGGTGAGTTTCACGTTTTACTCTCTGTTGACTTTAGTTCTGTGTTTACCAAAAGAACACACCCTTCCTCTGCTTCTGCCGAACATTGAACCCGTCTCTGGTTTACCTTCCAGGCCTCCAGCTCCAGCGACAGCTCCAGACGTTTCTGTGCCGCCTCCAGCAGCTGGTTGTTCAGCGCCATCATCTCCGTCTTACTCCGTAGCACCTCGCCCTCCATCGCCTTCTTCCTGTGCAGCAAAAACAGAAGAAATGAATCACTCCTTAGAATAGATTTACGGCTTTCAGCTTCCGTTTTCTGCCTGAAGTCTTGATTTGGGGAAAAACGACAAAAAGCAGTGTGACAGTTTGTGTGGGAACTCACTTCTCTATGGCCTCGTCTCTGTCCCTCAGAGCCTGCTGCAGGACAGCACTCTCCTCTGCTCCACTTACTCCAGATTTTGAATCCTGAACGGAGAATCAACCATAAGAGGCATTATAAAAACACAGTTCAGTTTAAATTAGTTGTTTCTTATTTGGATTAGTTACAAAATCTTATTTGGATTAGTTGCAGTTCCCTGCATCTACTCCTCCTGCGGTTCACACATTCAACATCAACAACAAAAAACACATAACAAGCATGGATCACATTTTATTTGAATCAAATAGCCTTTATGTTATGGAAAGATATGACAACGTATAAGGATCGTTGTAACTACAAAAAAAAAAAAAAAAAGAAAATTTCCACCAAAAAAATCCAAAATGTTTCAAAACAAAAGGAAATTTCTGAGCTCCAAAAGCTAATCTCAGAATTTCTGTTTTATTTCACCAATGTTTGACTTCTGAAGCTCAGACATGTCCTTGTTTTTTCTAAAACATTTCTGAAATTTTTGACATAAATGTACTCTTCCTTGTTTTTGTGTACAACGCCCCTAAATAATAAGTCATACACAATCAAATCTTGCCATAAAAGAGAATACTCTGGTTTTTAAGAAAATGGCTGCTTATCAGTTATTTGTTAGTTGATTGATAACAGCAATTAACTTTAGATTGTCAACACCTTGCATCACTAGTAAATCATAACCCAGTTTATGACTTCCTCTTTAATAATTGACGCAGAGCAACAAGAATCTCAGATGCTTTCAGGCATAAACTTGTCAGACCACATAGCTGAGCTTAACCCCCTGGGTGGAGTCCCCATCTCAGCGATCCATTTTTCAGTGAATAATGCTTCACCAGATCACGCAGGCCTTTCAAAAGCTGCTTCAGGGGAAATTTTGAGGATATGATGATTTTGGTGCCCTGCCAAAACGGATCAGTTATCCTTTATCTTTACAAAAGTGAAACCATCTTTAAATAACTTGGATCTTAATCACTTGTTTAAAGGAATAAGAGCCAGGGATGTCTTATGGTTGTTTTGTTTTTATACACGAAATCTCTTTCTAAGCTCCTACTTTTTTATTCTGTTTGTTTCAACCACTGATGTTTTAAAAAGTATACAAAAAAGCAGTTTTCTGTGTAAACTAGTCTCCACTTTTGTCTCAGCTCATTCATTTCTCAGGAATGAGCTGAGAAAACACTCTTGTGAGCGACATGCCGACTGAAATCAACCGAAACTAAAGGAATGCAGGTGAAACTACCAAAAGTATTCATCCTTTTCACATTTCGTCAAATTGGAAACACAAACTTCTGTCAGGTTAGAAAAAAAAATAAACATTTTCACCTTGATGTAAAACCCTTTGTGTGGCAAAAAATAAACAGTGAACTTAATCCTGAGCACCAAGCCCACAATAGCACAGGGGGAGAGATACACTACAAAATAATTTATTGGAAAATATTAGTAGTATTTTGTAACCTAAACAGACCAACCCCAAATGTGAAACATGATAGCAGCAGCAGTATCCCATAGCGAAGCTTTTCCCTAGCAGATACAGGGGAAGTGAGTTAACAGAAAAAAGGATAGAGCTGAATGATGACAATCTGTTACAGGCTGCAAACCATTTCAGATTATAAAGGTTACATTCACACTGCAGCCTGAAGTGACCCAATCCGACGTTTGTTTTTTCCTTAATGAGATCTGAATCTGAACATCATTGATACTCAACAAAACGTCACTATCCCGCCTGCTTCGCGCAAGAAAAACAACAACCATGGCGGACAATAATGAGGAATAAGTTGTTAATATGCTGGCTCGGGACGGACATCAACTTCAAACTCGTAAGATATGCTACACCATTAACAAACACGTTTACTTTCGCAAACACCGAGCACTTTTTTTTAATGGCGGTAGGTGAAAACAAGCGCGAAAACGTCACACGCTCGCTACGTGTGACGTTATCGCGCTCTCTACTGCGCATGTTCGCTGGGGAGAGCACATACACGTCGCATATATTTGGAAGTGGGATCTACCACGCCAAAAAAAAAAAGGTCCGATTTCACAAAAAAATCGGAATTGTGTGAAATTGTCCTTAGAAGTTTCCCTTTCAAAAAGACAATAATTGTTGGTATATTTATACATTGATTAAAAAACTGATTGTAATGATGGAAAACTTTAAGAATGAATAAATACATCGAGAGTGAACAACTTCAAGGCAGGGTGTGGCTCTTACATGCTTGGTATGGCTGATTGCCAGCTGTCGAGCCACATTCTTCAGCTCCGACAGGGCAGAGTCCAGGCGGTTCTCCCCGCCTCGTGGCTCGGGTCGGCCGGATTCTGACGCGATCAGCGGCTGCAGCAGCCTTAGAACCGACAGAACCTCGTCTGTGACCTGCAATAAAGATCAAACCGACGTTATAAAGAGCTTTGCAGAGGTATGCCGTGTCCCGGCTTTGCCTACGAGCCTCACCCTCTCTCGGTGCTGACTCCAGCCGGGTCCGTCGGTGCTTCCCTGCAGTTTGTCCACCTGAGCCTTCAGCTTGATGCTCCTCCTGCGGGACAGCTCCACTTCCCTGCGGACTTCTTTGAGCTATCAAGCAACGCAACAACACACAATTTAAGCATGTTAGCAAGGCAGGCAGGTAATTATTGCCTAAGAGGATGAACTTCATGACATTTTAACTCGTTGTAAACAGAAATTGCTAATCTAGATGCCTGAGTGAAACTATGGGTGAAAAATGCAGTTGTTCTGGCTCATAAACACTAACAAGAACTAGTACCGTAATACACTGAAGACACACCAATATGCAAATATATTTATAAAGGACAAAACTGTTTTCAACAGAAATGTTCTTTTACAGGTTTATCTCTAGAAACCTTCCTGTATGCAAAAGTAAATCATATTTACTGCAGAGTTTTACCTCTGTTCTTTTTTTTTTTACTTTCTAAATATTTTGTGTAACTCCTGAAAAATATTGAAGGGCTGTAGCAGCAAGTAGCCTCCAGCAGCAGCTATCCCTTTGCAATATAAATTTTTTACAACTGTGGGTGAAATAAGATTAAACAAGCAATAAAACACATCAGATAGTAGAATAAAGTAAAAAGATTAAAAAAAAAAAACTACCGACCCTTAAAAAAAGATGTCATGACTTTTAACTGGAGAGGTCCAGGTCAGAGGTCAATCTGAATTTATTCCAGCATCTACACTGCAAAAACATCAAATACTGAGTATTTTTGTCTAGTTTCTACTGCAAGTATCTTTGTACAGTTAACATAAGATAAAAATAGCTTACAAGGAACTTTTCAGCAATATACAAGAGCTTGGTTTAAGTAAATTATTCCTTAAT